TTAAATATATAAAATTTCTAAATTTGCACCCGGTACCCTTTTTTTTTCTCTTCCCCGCACCCCTCTTCTTCTTTATTTCTTGCACCCTGCACTTCTTTTCTTTCTCTTCCTCACACCCTTCTTCTTCTTTCTTGCACCCCTCTTCTTTTTCCTTTTTCCCGCACCCCCTTCTTCTTTCTTTTCCACCCTTTTTTTCTTCTCTTTTTCTTCACTTTCTTCTCCGACCTCTCTACCTCCTCTTCTACTTTTTTTAGTTTTTGTAATATCTTCTTCCTATTTTGTTTTGTTATAAACTGTAAGCTCGCGGTTTAGTGTCGAAGGAAAATGTGTGAGGTCATGTGCGTTTTTCCTCCAAGTAATTCTCTTTACTATCTCCACCTTCTTCTATATTCTTTTGTTCTTATCATTTCTAGTTTATTATCTCATTGTTTATCTGTTTTGTTAACATCTCTCTCATCTATACATTTCTTTTTAGGATTCTTTTTAGGATTTGTGTGTTTGAAATTGATTGATCAATTGTCTTTGTATTTTGCAATTGACGAGCATTTATCGTTATGTGAAGTTATGGCACAGAAAGTTTTATTTCGGAAAGTACTTTCTGGAATAGTAAAGTTTTTGTTCTAAAAATTACTTTCCGGAATAATAAAGTTTTTATTCTAGAAAATATTTTCCATAATAGTAAATTATTATTCCGGAAAGTATTTTTTGGAAAAGTTTTGTTACATAATTCCGGAAAGTACTTTCTAGAATATTAAAATTACTATTCCGAAAAGTTCTTTCTGAAATTATATAAGAAACACATTTCCGGAAAATATTTTTTGGAATAACAATTTTACTATTCTGGAAAGTACTTTCCGGAATGCTAAAATTAATTTCAAATCTTATTTTTCAATATGACAAATTTAACTTACGTGTTTCTTTATCTCTTCATCTATCACTGTCGTCTACGATCTTGTTGTCCATAAGTAATGTTAAATAAGTTTAAAAAAATTATAAATATAAAATGTAATTTAATATATTAATTTGTACCTTGTATTGAATGTAGAGAATAATGAAGATTGAATGAAAAATTAAGATTTAAGAAAGAATAGAGTAGAAAGTAAAAAATAGAATTTAAAAAATAGAACGATAAAATATGATTATATTGATTATAAAAGAAGAAAAATCAAGAATAAAAATTAAAAAAGAATAAAATTATAAAAAAAATGTATAAAATGATGAAAAAGAAGAATGAAAAAAAAATAAAAAAAAGAATGAATAAAAATAAATTTAAAAATAGAACTTTTTTAGTTAAAAAATATTTTAAAAATTTTATTTATAAAAAAAAATTAAAAGTGTACTTATAAAAGATAGAAAGTGTATATTACACTTTGTATGGCCCAACACTAGATGTCACATCATGTTGTTTGGCCCAATTGAGGATGTGTTTACGTCATGCTGGGGTTTTAGAACGTAGTATAGTCTCTTGTCCATAGGTCGAAGACTCAATTTCGAGTTTGTGTTTCCAAAATTTTTAAAAAAAATTTAAAATTTAAAATATTTATTAAATATTTTTATTTAACTAAAATGATTTAAATTTTTAGTTTAAATAGAAAAAATTAATTTCCAATGTTTATATATATATGTATATATGTGTGAAAATTTTAAAGTTTCACATATTTTATTTAAATAAATCAACTTAAATTTTTAGTTTAGAAAATGAAATTTAATTTTTAGTATGTGTTTGTATTTGTGAATGTATACATCAATTTAGTTCTTGATCTTTTGTCAATTTTTACTTTTAGTCCTTAATTTTTTTGTGTCAATAACATTTTGGTCTCTAATCTTAAAAGATCAATTTTTTACTTTTAGTCCTTAAATTTTTTGTGTCAATAACATTTTGGTCTCTAATCTTAAAATTTGTTATTTGTGGAAGAAAACTTTAAAGACTGAAAGTGAAAACGTTATGAATATTTAAAATATATTTTTTAAATATACAATAATTAAAAATATATAAGTAAGACAAAATAAAACATAAAAATAAATAAATAAATTATCACTTTTTTAATACAATTTAAAATTTTACTATTTTAAATAATTTTATAAAAAAAAATTAATTTTAATTTCCTTATAAATCCTCTATCCAAATACAGCATTTCATTCCATTTCAAATTATCACGATGTTATATGTATCATGCGTGGTTTTGGTTGAGAAGCTTATGCCCAGACTTTGTTATGTTTTTTTTTTTCAGAATGGTTGGTGAATCCGGAACAATGTTTGGCCATGGTGGGGTACCTTTGATGAAGGGAAGGTGTATACAACAATAATGATATTGTGTTTAATTAGTAGCTGGTGTTGGCATTAAATTAAAATATTATTAATCATAGATGAGATATTTTGTTTAGTTTCTATGTTGACACTGTACAGAAAATATAGTTAATTATATTGAGAACTATATAGTCTATATTGAGAAATGGTGTTAATTATCCAACATGTTCTATTCTTAGATGACTTTGTCTTCTTCTTCTTCTTTTCATTTTTCATTAAATTACCCTGTTCAAATCTACATCAATAAACACTTTTTTGATGATAATACGAAGCCAATTTTTTAATCATGGTACACATATAAAAATCAGAAATAATGACTAATTTTACTTACAGAAACTGTAAAAATACAATTTCTCATCTAACATATTTTATTTAATGCTCAATTTCAGAATTCGATTTACAACTTCATCCGCAGAAGTTAGGTTACGGTCACTCCTTTCATGACCATAATTATTTGAAGTTACAAGAAGCGAAATTTTGTTTTATGCAATAACAAAACTTCACTCCTAATATCTTTGTTATGGTATGATCACAACTCCAAGTGTTTCCACCCACAAATCCTTGTTACCGAACGAAAAATGAACTTGTAACTATTTTTCTGCATGATCTAAATTTTATTTTATCTTAGTTTAAACATATAATTTAATTTAATAATTTTATGCACACAAAACACATAAATTTACATTTTTAAAAGGAAAGGTTGCAATCATACCAGCAATTCCATTAGAGTGGTTGGTAAAAATAACAGAAATAGAAGGAAAAAGAAAAGAAGAAAAGTGAATAAAAAATTAAGAATAAAATAATGGTTGATTGATTGAAAAGAAATAAAGATTTTTTTAAAAAATATTATTTAATTAAAAAAAATAAGAAATAGAAAGTGTTTCTATTGTTATTATTATTGAAAGGGGAGGAGATATGCAACATCCGTTCAAATTTGACATCTAAATAATTTTACTTCACAATACTTCTCAAGATAACATTTCACACAATTTCTCGTTTGTTATGACTTTTTAGACACTAAAATTTGTGTACGCTTATATCCAAAGCATAAATATTTCTTTGTTTGCATCAATTCAAGAAAATATTGGTGGAAGTTCTACAATATCCATAATTGATAATGTGACGAACTTTCATACATTAGCAAAATCAAATGATGTCATTGCAAATAATGAAAATGTTAATTATGATTACCAAATTGAACCTCAAGAACAAGCATGAATATATCGAAACCTAATGGAAAACAGACATCCTCTAGGATGTAGTATTGATGGGCACATGGTCTATGAATTTGATTTCAGAGTATGTGTAAAACTTATATATCTATCTTTTTATTTTGACTTATGTGTATTCTTTTATTTGAATAATGTAATGAAATTATGCATCTTTAAATTATTTATAATATCTTTTTTTAAAACTTATAAACTATAAAATAAAAATTATGAGTTTATATATTAACTAATTATCTCCACGAGGGTAACATATCTAATTAAGTTCTTTTGCTTCTATTAGTTAGGACTTGAGATCGAATTTGACTTCTGTTATACTTTATATCCTTCTATATAAACTTGTGTTAGAATAGGTAGACAATCCATAATCTAACTCAAAATTCAAAAGCTTGATAATTGACTCTAACCTTATGTAAGATCGTGTGTTGTATTAATCTAAAATTAAAACTATCAAAATAATATTATAAAAAATAATACTAAAAAAGAAAGAAAATTGTATAAAAAAAAACTACAGTTAATAAATCAGATATTAATTAACCGATTTCTCAATTAAAAAGAATATATTAGGTTAGAAATTAAGAGATAACTAATATTTTAACGTGAATAATAAACGGCACACGTTGATAAATATATTTCTTGAATGATATTTTGACAATTTTTTTTTACTATATTACAAAATAAAAAAATCTATGGTACGCATCGTTTCAGAGGTGGGAAAATAGAATACGTTATTCCCCTTATATGTAATTTTGGGCACGCATAGCATATACAATATAAAATAATATGATGTAACTGAGAAGGGCGGCGAATAGTTCACAGGTGACCACAATCACCTAACCCATGACACCAACATGGATTGTACGTCCATATCACATGTGTTCATTCGCACCTCAATTCGTTTACGCCTTCTAATTTCCCTTTTTCTTATTTCCTAAAATCACATTAGAAATTTGGAAAAGTTGAGACTAATTATTGCTCAACTTGGCATATTCGCATATGATTGAGAATATACAGATAACTGTGATCCTCTTTCACCACCAACATTATCACCAGCCATGACCTTGTTCTAAGCCTCGAGTTGAGTTTATAAAACGAAAATTAACCACCGTCCACTTAGCATAACAGTTAAATTTTCCAACAAATGCCATTTATGAAAATGACTCATAAGGGACATTACCCAACAAAACTAAACCCCAGAAATGTGCTTTGGCCTTTTCTTGTGCGTTCTTTCACGTCACACGTCTTGGCCATTTTGCCTCCACACACACCATGCACATCTCTCTCTTCAATAAATCTTCATTTCCCTCCTTTTGTGGTGACCCATTTTTTTATCCATCACAATTATAATAACAACGCATAATTTAAACTATTTTGCTTCAAGTTTTGTCACTAAACTAACTCTAGTATTAACAGATTAATAATAAACATAAGTTTGCTTGTGAAAATCTAGATACAAAAAAAAATCGTGAACGATAACAAGATGATGCTTTATTAATTTCTCTAATTTATAATTTCCATCATCAAAATTTGCAAAGCCACTACAAAATACAATATATACATCCTGAAATGTGAATATTAATCTCTCCGGGTCTTGATGGAGAGCATAATCCAAGAGAAGGATCAGGATCAGGATCAGGATCGACGACACCTAACTATTACGACACATTGATACAGCTGGAGTTGTTGTACCATGATTCCGTGGCGAAAGAACCAGCTAACCCACCGTCCCATAATCTAACAACGTTGCCGTTAAGCTCCGTCAAGTCCTGCCACGTGTACCACCCGTTCTCGCTCTCCCCGTTTCTCAACCGCAACAGCCCCGCCCACTTCTTCCACCACTCCGTTTCCAACCCCTCTTCTCTCTCTTCCAACGCCGTCGAGAACCCCTCACGCCCCACGCACGTGCATTGCATGTCCTCCTCGTAGTACACCGTGAACTTCCCCTTCCTCCCGCCGTCAACGTCCTCCGTAACGCCCTTACGAACCGCCGCTCGTGTCAGTGGCTTCGTTTCCTCCAGCGCTACCACAGTGGGCGTCAAGGCAACTGGGTGGGGCCCGGTAGAGGTCTGGGCCTCGGGCATGGGCATGGGCATGGGCATGGGCTTGGATCGAATCTTCCAGAAGCTGAGTGCGGCGGTGAGGAGAGCCAGCCAGGTCCATAAATTGTTTAGCGCAGTGAGCAAACCGAAGCTCAAGTAGTTGAAGGCTAGAGCCTCCACATTAGAATCTAAGACATTCATTTTTATTTTTTATTTTCTCTACAAGTATTGGAATTGGGAAGGTGAGAATTTAGTGTTGTGGGAGTGGGAGTGGAATGAGGATTTAAGGGGTGGGGGTGGGGAAGAGACAAATGTGGCTGGGATCTCTAATAAGATGCCAGAATCCAGACCCAAGATGCCACTCGCAGTGTACGCGAGTCACAATAATTATTATTAAATTTAATTCTTATTTCATTATTTTTACTCTTAAATTACAAAAACAATACCACGTTGGACACTAACACACGTGTGTGGTTAACAATCTTTTCAGTCCCACTTTCCTCGCCTGCACTCTAACTTTGAATTTAAATACTCCTCATCAGTTTACTCTCTCAACTTTTATATATAGAGATTAAAAAGGATAGATTAATGTATTTGATTTTTATAAATAATATTTTCATTATTATTTTAAGATTATTTTTGGATTAAAAATATTTAATAAAATTGATTTGGTTGAAATTTATTTATATTTGGGTCCAAAATTTTTGAATGTGTTTTGTTTATATATTGGTTTAGGAGGAAAAGTATAATTAACATATTTATTAGAAATGACTATAGATTTGATTCAATCTAATGATCAAATAAATTCAGTTCAATTTATATAAAAAAAATTCATATGATTGGAATTATCAAATCAACTAAAATTTTAGAATTGGAAAGTCAATAAGTAATGGACCTAAGGCTTTAGGTTAGTAGTCAATTTATTAAAAAAAAATAAAGTATTTATTATTATTATTATTATTATTATTATTATTATTATTATTATTATTATTATATCAAGAAACAAATATTATAATTCAAAACACTCATTAAGAATGCAAAGTGAGTTAAGAAGAAATCAAAATGTAAGATATAAAAATTAGTTAATAAAATTAAAAATTATCAACAAGTTTGAAATTAGGGATTGTGGGTTTAAAATATAAACTTAAAAAGAGAAAAAAAAATTATAAATTAAGATATACGTGAATTATTCTTATTCTTTTGAATGGGCCGTTCCAAATGTAAAATTTATACACCAAGAGTGCAAGCAGAACGGTCATTCTGGTTCTAGAATGCCAAACACAAACAGTCAATGATTATAGTCAGTGACGGATCCTGAAATTTTAGATCGTGGGGGCAATACTTGTTCATATATTTGTAATATTAAAAATTTTACATATAATCTTAAAAGTATAAATACATATTATATTTATTTTTTACAAGTTTTTATATCTACAATTACGATTAAGGATGAAAATAAACTAGGTTAGATTAGACATGGAAATCTAACCTGCCTCCGTGGGTACCCGCCCGAACCCGCCCCGATTTGGATGGGGAAAACTCGTGTTTATCGGGTTCGGGTTTGGGTTTGGGTTCGAGTTTTCTCCGATTGATAAAATAAGAGAAGAAAAAAAATAAGAGCGGGGGCGAGGGCGGGGCGGGGAAACCTGAACCCCACCGAGGAAGGGGATGGGAACCCATATTTTACTCCGACAGGTATCAAGGCGGGGCGGAGGCGGTTTAAATTTGCGGGAGCGAGGGTGGGGAACGTAAAACCCGTCCCTGTCTTGCCCCGTTGTCATGCCTAGGTCAGATTATGTTATATTATAATTTAACAAATTTAAACCTAATTTTAATTAAAAATACATGTTATAAATATGATATATTTATCTGTCATAGACAATTTTTAAAATGTTTGGTTAGAACTACAATCTTAAAAACTTACTTAATAATAATCTAACACTAATAAAAATATAAAAATAAATATGTTAAATTTTATAAAAAAAAATCAAGTTTAATTTATTTATGATATAAACATGTTTTTAATATGTGATATAAATTTTTAGATGATAATTTATTTTAAAATATATTTTATAATAAGTATTATAAATAAAACATAAATCTTCCAATCTTTCCTATTTTTATTTTTTTTAAAAAAATGTATACAATCTTACAATTTTTATAATTTTGATTTTTTACAATAAATAGAAAGCACAAAAGGTAAATATGAATGCTGTAAATTTTATTTTATCAAAAATTAATATATTACATTATATATGTGATTATTAATATATATACACACACGTGTATATATATATATATATATATATATAACTTTCCTCCTAACTTGGGAAAGTTGAATTCTCATCCTTTTTATGAGAATGTTTTTGTGGGAAAGTGAGATAAAATTGGTCGTAGAAAACTATATTCCTAAAAAAATTTTAA